AAGCTGATCCCCCGTTTGGCCCAGACAGAGACTGGAAGCGCCGCGCTTCAAGAGCGCAGCTCGGAGCTGCAGGCGCTCATCCTGGGCACGGCGGATAAGACTCCTGCATCTGCTCGTCGGGATCGTATGCTGGCGATCTACGAACTCATCACCTACTTGCCGACCTCCGACCTGCACTTCATTCCATCCGTTCTCTCGGAAGTTGTCTTGGGCTGCAAGGAGAGCAATGAGAAGGCTCGGACAGCCTCGTTCGACCTGCTCATCCACCTGGCAAAGAGGACTACCGACGAAGAGAAGAACCCTGCCGGCACTAAGATCCGCAACTCCCTGGTGCCGCACATGCCTAATGATGCCCCTGATGCTCCCGCCACTATTGAGGAGTTCTTCACCATGGTGTCTGCCGGTCTGGCGGGTAGCTCGCCGCACATGGTTGCTGCCTCCGTCACAGCTCTGTCTCGGTTGTTCTTCGATTTCCACACCCAGATCCAACCTACTGTCCGGTCCGACTTGGTCCAGACCGTGGAGTTGTTCCTCACCAGCAACAACCGCGAGATTGTCCGGTCTGTGCTCGGCTTTGTCAAGGTCGCCGTGGTTGTTCTTCCCGATGAAGATCTCCGTGCGCGCCTCAGCTCCCTTGTTCCCAACCTGATGGTCTGGAGCAAGGAGCACAAGGGTCGTCTCCGCAGCAAGGTAAAGGGTATCCTTGATCGCCTTATCCGACGCTTCGGTGCCGCTCCTATCGAGGAGCTGGTTGGTGAGGCCGACCGGAAGCTGGTGGTCAACATCCGGAAGCTGCGCGAGAGACGCAAGAAGAAGAAGAACGCCGAGCAGGATGGCGAGGACGATGAGGAGAATGATGAGCCCGCTGGACAAGAAGAGAAGAGCGGCCGGTCCTACAGCAACGCCTTCGATAAGGCCGTCTACGACTCCGACCTCGACTCTGACGACGACGCCAGTGAGATTGACGTCGATGAGGAGGGCGTCACTCATGCGCTCAAGGGCCGCAAGGGCAAGCGGTCCAACAAGCAGAGCGAGCAGTACATTCGTGAAATGTCCCCCGAAGACAACCCTCTCGACCTTCTCGCCCCCGATGCCCTGGCCAACATTTCCACCACCAAGCCTAGTGTCCGCTTCCTCAACACTGGCCCCGGTTCCCGGAAGAAGCGCAACGCGAAGGTCGATTCCGACGGCCGTCTTATCCTTGGCGATGATGACGAGGATGTTGACATGTCCGCTGGCCTGGACAACAACGCTGGAGAGAGCGGCATCAACGCCTACGTGCAAGCCGTCAGCGGTCCCGACGCCGTCCGTCGCGGCCAACGTGGTAAGCTCAAGATGGCTCAGTCCCAGAAGAAGAAGGGCGGTGACGATATGGACGTGGACGATGACAACGACAACAACGCCTCTGGCCCTGCCTCCCGCCCCGGCCCTGGCCGTCGTGGCCTAGGCATGCCCAAGACTCACGGTCCCAGCGGCGCCGGACGCATTCAAAAGCGCATGCCCATGCGTGGTCGCCCCGGTCGTGGTGGCAGCCGTGGTGGCAGCCGTGGTGGTAGCCGTGGTGGCGGCCGTGGCGGCGGTTTTCGTGTTGGCGGCAACCGGAGATAAATCAATCAATCAACAGCACCTACCCTCCATCCACATACCCCCCCAACTGAACTGATATGATACATCGACAATACTCAGTCCATGTTCAGTCATCCCTTTTACACATACCACACTCAAAAAGCATTATTTTAACGGCACTGGATACCGAATAGTCAATGAAAGTCATTTTTCAAAGTTCATCATGTCATGTATGGAGTATGACGAGACCGTTTTTCTTCCTTTTTACCTTTATATTGTTATGTTTTTTCTTTACTTTCCTGGTTTGCTGTGAATACGTACATACTTAACGATACGATTGACCCGAATATGTCCCTATTCCTTTTCATTCCTTCTTTCATCGCGGATCAAAAAGGTAGTTTACTTTGCTAAATTCAAGTCAGTGAGTTGAGTTGAATTGAGTTAGTGTTAGTGTCTATTCCGTGTGAGGTACTTTGTGCTGCTTGCTTCTTTCCTTAGGTGTATCTTCATATACCCTTTTTATTTATCGTTATCCTTTGCTGCTTTGCTATCTACTATTGTTCTTGTTCAGTTCACTCCAATTGTTGCACCTACCTTAGTTCGAAAAAATAAACACAGTTAGTATCATACTTTCGTATCTCTTCCTAATAATAATATAGTCATCGTAAGTCCTCTTGAGTAAAGAAACACCATCCATCCATCCATCCATCCATCCATACATACATACATACCACCCGGATAAAAGGAAGAAACCATTTCGTCACAGAAACCCCGGTAGTACATTAGTACTTTATACATAGGTATATAATATCATCAATCTATCTATCCTATATAACCTGTCGGAGCCCTCCCTCATTGATCTGCTCATTCTTTACTAATTCCTTCCTTCCTTCCTTCCTACCTACCTACCTATCTACCTTATTTCTCGAGTAAATAACATATCCGCGCTTGAAGAACCTTATCTCTCGGTACTTTACACTTACTAGTTATTTACTATACCCCCGTCCCGTATGCAGGTTGCCTGCCTGCCTGCCCGCCTGCTGTTCTTCCTTCCGGGATCCTTCTCCCGAGCGCAACTAACTAATATAGACATTACGTAGTAAGGTGATACAAGTTGACGAATGTTGATCTGATCTATCAGATTTGGTTTTTTTTCTCTCAAGCGGGGTGAGGTAACTTTCGCCTTTTTTTTTTTTTTCTTGTTCTTACTTTGATCTTTCCTTTCTTTTCCCTTGTTGCATTTTGCACTCGTCCGATTACCATCTACTCTGTTTGGTACGGATGTGCGGTGAGGTAGGATGATCTGCTTTTACTCCATAATTGCGTTCAACGGGTACTAACTGACTTTATTGACTAGTCGAAGTTATGTGGGGAAGAAGGACGAGAGGAAAACGAAGAAAACAACAAAATGTGGGTATCAATTCTCACTCGGTATTGTATGAGTACATGAAAAGGGAAATAAGAGAGTAAAACTAATGAAAAAATCAATCCAAGTGAGCTCACTTCACCGGAAGACCGCTTTGATCCAACTCAACTCCTAAAATCCCTTCCCTCGCTTTCAGAATCTCATAATAGCAAGTGTTCCCTCTCTACGATGGCTCGTGAGTCATGGGTGATAAGGATGATAAACTCCGCGCGCCGGCGACCAATATCCCAACTCCGGAGGGAATCCTCAAATCAGTCATCTGACTGAAGACAAGAAAAAATGAATAAGAGATAAAATGGGGATAAAATCGAAAATGAAAACAAAAGGTGGAGCCTCAAGAAGATCATTCCACATATCCCAAACGTTGGTATCATGCCGGCATCAAACAACGGAATTGACTTGATCAAAGTGAATTTCATATCCACAAGTGTGGTTCACACCGATACGCTAAGCGAGTGGCTTACGGGCTTTGCCAAGCCAAATCTGCCACCATCGGCAGACCCCGAGAACGGCTGCTCGGCCATCGTCTTTGCGCTCTGTGCCATCTGGATTGCCTAGAACCATGGCGAAGATCCAGAAAAATGCTGCAATCCAGGCTAGGAGAATTATGGCGATGGACAGGAACGGCGATAGAAGGAGGACGATGAGCAGGCCTCCGATTGAATACGAGTCGATGGATTCTGCCACATAGGATCCCTCCGGGTCATATATCGGCTGGGTGGATGATGATCTTGAAGAAGATTGTCGCAAGCAGACCAGTCGTTCATGAATATGCAACTGGGGTACCAGCAGACCGCACAGTTGTGCCCGAAAGGACGTCGCCCGAAAGTAGGGTATGCAGGAACAGATGCGAAGCGGTGAGACAAGGAGGACGAAGAGCACGCCGAAGATGGTATACAACGATGCGCAGAAGGAGAATACGGGAACGGGGATGGAGAGTCGAAACTAATATCCAGCGCGATTAGCTACGGGCCGAAATAACTAGTTGTTCGGAAATAGACAAAGCTCACCAGCATTAACAGCGCATCCGGCTCTTCCTCCGGGGCTATGTCATCGTCATGATTCGCTCGTTTATGTACGCGAGATGCGCCATTGGGGTGATTGTCTCCCGACATATATGACGAATGATCGGTCCAACTCCCACGAACGCGCCCTTCTTTGCGCCCGACTTCGCTTGCACCTGAAGCCCGAGATAATACGGAGCCGTTCTCGTGATAAGGCGAGGCAACCGACGCCTCTGGAGGCACCGAAGCCTGCCCCAGATCCGGATATAGATGTTCCCCAGTCTGTGGGGTTTGATGCGATAGGCTATGCTGTCGTCGAGAATGCCGTTGTGGCTGCTGATATTCAGGGTGTGAGATGTGATGGGAGTCGTCAAGATAGTGGAATTCCGACGGAGAGGAGTCAACCTCTGAATGATAGTGGTGAGGTGATGGCGACGAGTGCGACGGCAGAATGTGTGGGGGAGGATGTGCTGCAGCAGCAGGCACAGTGGGTGTTGGGTTCGGAAAATAAGCTGTCACGAGGTGACTATCATCTTGACGGTGGGTAGCAGGCTGGGACATTTCCGGCTGCTCCATTACGGGCGGAGGAGAGGAAGGAGGGGGGGAATAGGTAGACACCGAGAGGGAGAGTAGAGAGGGGAGTCGGTGGAGCAATCAAGGGCGCGACAGGAAATGCTACCCCCTTGAGAAATGCCGCAGGAGCAACACAAGGTGGTACCAGAGAGTACACACGCACAGAGATACTGTGTGAACTGTGAAGAGAGCAGCTGCAGGGATGAAGTTCACCGCATGGCTCTAGGTGCAAGGGGCATAACGATCTCAAGGCATGTACCGGAGCTTATAGCTTATCGGTCCTGACGGGGCTTGGGGGAGGGATGGAGAGATCTAGAGCAAGGCGGAGATTTGAGAGGGGGTAGAAGGTTGAAGCGCAGGAGGAAGAGGGGAGGGAGGAGAGGAGGAGGAGGGGGGAGGAGAGGAATGGAGGACAGGAGCGGAAGGGCAGGTAGGGTGACTTATAAGAAGAATGCCATGGACGACTTTTTTTTCCTTTAACTACCCTTCCCAAGACAGAAAGAGACAGAGCGGAACGTCCAAGAACAGGACCAAGAGACCGGTTGGTCTTGTCTTGTCCCAGGACAAATGCAGCGGAAGGGAAGGGGGGGGGATAGAGTAGTTCTGGTTCTGGTCTGCTTTTTCGCCGCCAAGACGCCCAGCTGCCGAGCCCTTGGCATGGGCAACGTCAAGAGAGTGTCACGGCCAACACCATGGCGTGCGAGGTCCCAAGGATTTCTCGAAGGTTGAAAGGGGGAGAAAATCTCCCCCCTCGGGTTCGGAGAGCGGAGGGAAGGAATGGGGTGCTAGGCTGAGGAGCTTGAGAAGTGAAAAGGAGCTACCGGAAGGGATGAGTAGCGGGGAGAGAGAGAGGGATCGGGGGTCGGGGATAAAGTTGAAAATAACCACTTATTAAAGTGAGAGGGAAAAGAAATGAAGGGAGGGTAAAGAGGACAGACACACCACCACTGGCTGACGAGTTAAGAAATATTGATTTCCTCTCCCTCAGCTCCACCTCTCTTTTTACTTACTTACTATCTCCATCTTCCATCTCAATCTCTTCCTTCCCACCGGAAGGAGGAAGAGAGTATTTCCCTGTCTCGTCTTCGTCTGGAATTTCAAGCCCCGTAACCTCCCCATCTGCAGTGTTTGGGCGTGTCGCAGGAGCAATGTTACGTATCTGTACCGCGTGCCAAGATGCCAAGTCCCTGCGGGGATTTTGGTGGATGAGTAACGATCCTTGATTGGCTGGTGGCATTGCGAGCGTGTCCGTGATCCGCATTCGGAGGTTGGCTGGTCGGCTTGGCGGTATTACGGCCAGATCACATCTAGCATAGCGCTGACCGCAGCCAATACCCCGAATCACTAATAATACATCTGCATTAATCGAGGTATTTCTTGTCCGTCCCGGTCACAGGTTCCCGATCTACTATTCTCCCATTGCAACGCCATGCCCTCTTTTAGCAACTTCGAGTCCATCCACTAGGAGAGCACTTGAAAATCATTATATTGGAGTGAACGAAACGCAAGAAGCACATAATTCTTCTGCGAGTCGAGTAGTATGACGATCATGATCAAACATTATATTTATCTCGATGACCACGGCTGGCTCTGAACCTCGGAAACGCAGCTTGGCCCTTCTTTCTTTCCTCCAAATACACACAATCTTCTCCCCCAACAAGTGGCGCCCAGCCCAGCCCAGCCCCGCCGGGTATCTATTTATCTAGCATGCTCCTGCTTGGAAGAGCCGTATACCCGGCTTGGGTGGTGTTTCTGCTTCGTGTCCAGCTGGTCGATCCTATCAATAAATTAGGTAACCCGATGTCCGGTGGCAGTCTCCAAAGTCTTGTCCTTCTCCTTCAACATGCCGTGCTACTTTATCAACCAACGAATGGGTAACCCATTGTTGATCCTAAACATACCGACTCGGCCAGTCTCACTGCCAAACCACTTGTTTCGAATCAATCGACCGGGCTTAGCGACCCTTCTGTATGCCCAATCATCCCCGCTCTGTTGCCGAGAGATAGATTACGACTGCCCATATGCCGGACCATGTGCCCTTCTGACTTAGCCGACATGACGACTGAAACTGACTTTCCCAGCTTTCCCTCCGTATCAGATCGGACTTCTGTGCGTATCATTGCGTGGCATGGCTTGAAGGCCCATGTTCAATAAATTTGCTCGTGATCAGCCTCCGTCTGGCCGACTTTTCAGACCGTTTTCTCCCGTTGGTCCCCCATCCCCTCTCCCGCCAGATCCAGACTGTTCTTGGCTGCCACGCCCAGAACTTCGGATGTGGAAACTCTCCTGCGCCTGTAACTCTTGGCCAGGGACATAGGGCCGATCCCGCACTTTAGACATGGCTTCCATGCAAGTTTCACAGAACCATATTGGCTGTTCCCCTGTGGAACGATGTCCGGGATGCTACAAGGTACAGGGTAGCACTGTGCATATACCTCCCCCATTTTCCTCGGGAACATCCTTACAATTCCAACACTCCCGACGCCTGAATGCCATGTGAACTGCTGGTCCTTGACCTTCTTCTCCTCGGGTGCACAAATACCCAATCACACTCTGCTTGTCCCACGCTAGGCTGTACGGAGTTCTCAATACGTGGATGCCTTGCCGTTGTGGCTTTCCAACGTTGGCCGCAGGATCTCAGTGGCGTGCAAGCCGCTGATGGTGGCGGCTTGAGATATTGTATGTGGCACCGACAGAAGAGTACAGATCATAAGTATCGCGATCCTCATGTTTCGTTTCTGAACGCTGACTTAAGACTAAGTTGAAACATATATACATGCAAGTCTTTTTCGGTTATCACAGATAGCTGGCGCGATGAGTCAGACTCGTCGATCTGATAACTTTGATCTGTCTGACACGATCATTTGCGTCAGTTTCTATCGAAATGCCACTCAAGAGACGAACACCTGCTCCTTGAATCATCAATGAAGGTATCTCACATCGGAGCGACCACATTGAGTACTGTCTCTGGGGCTGCCAAGTCCTGTGCGGAGTTCTAGAGAAATCCACCAAATTGTCAGAGTCCTTTTCCAAGGAACCTGTTCCAAGCCTTCGAACAACGACACTAATCACTCAGAATGTCTGTACTGCCCGTCGCATCTTTGTCAGTCATAACTCCACGCAATCGACAAAACCAAATGACCCCCACCTGCAAGGAGTTGATTAAAGTGCCTAGATAACACATCAAATTTCATCTCCCCCCTGCGTCCCATTGGAGGGTGTCACAGCAGACACTAGTCAGATCAACAAGTAACATAGCCCCATGGTCGGCAGAATATGTTGCTGTGGCTGGCCATTTCTGGGTGTCTTTTGCTTTTTTTTCTCTCGCCCCATCAGCTGCATATCAAGTCATGTCAGAATCTCTTGTAACTTGCTAACTCACCAATATTCCTCCGGACGCTTGTTGTTTCACCGGGAGTAATCAGGTGAGATCCCCGGTTCAGGCCCGGGAAAGATGCCCGCCTTATACACCGTAGATGGTGTGTTACTAGTGAGGCCAAGGATCTTTGAGTTTTTCTAGAAGCGAACAGTGTCACATTTACATGTGTCTGAAGAATGCCTTTGTCACTTACTTACCCGACCAGATATCTAACTTTTACCCGTCGATTGGCTAACTGGCTGTGCTACTTTGGGACTTACAACTGTAGCATAGTGACATTTCACATGAAGAGCTCTACTTACTATGATGCTACTGTTTACGTTGGAGAAACATGGCGCAGTGACATCAAGTACGGGTTGGCTACAGTAGCTTTGAACTTGGAACCTGCAACGATACATGATCATCCAGACTCATGAGTTCCTGGTACAATATATCTCTGAATGGTAGTAGTGAACTAGGGACTGAAAACATCTAACATGAACCTAGTAATAACCAAGCAAACTAATGTAAGTCATTAGACCTGATTCCATCTACTACTACATAAATATATCACCATGGGTACTCATGACATCGACATTCAACTGTTATCATACCATCCATCGTAACATCCATCTATATCTAGCTACAACCCTTCACCAACTCATCGATCCATCCCTAATTCTCACATACATATACTAAAAGCCCACATAAGAAATGATCATGACTTCATCCCTCCCTGTCCCTTACAGCTACATCATGCTCCCCCCGTTTCAAGTCCAGACCCAGTCCACACACACGAGATGTAAGTACCATCACTAGGACCATCTACGTGGTACCTAGTAGTTCGTCACGGATAAGGTTACTACTTGCTGTACATACCATTCCTGTTATAAAGGTTGCCTAACTATCTACCTACTTACCTTACTTAAACTGGGTGACTAAGTAAGTATGTAAGTAACTAAGCGCAGCTGATCTCTGATCAGATCTGATCGCATCACATCGCATCGCATCTCAGCTGATGTGATCGTTGATCGTCGATGGGGTTCGGGTTTGGGTTTGGGTTTCTCTGCCCGCCCCCCTTTCTAGTTTCTATACACACACACACACACACACACACACAGCACAGCACATAATGCATAAATACGTAATGATTAATGAGACCGGAGAGAAACAAGTTGATAATTGTGTGTATTCCTGTTATTCTGATCTAAATATTCTTTCTTTCTTTCTTTCTTTCTTTCTTTCTTTCTTTCTTTCTTTCACACAACTAGAAGAAGAAAATATCAATGAAGATCATCTAGATTTATTAGTGGTTCGGGAAATTTAGCCCCTTAAACTTGATGCCACTCCATTGTCTAGACTACATACGGCAGTAGCGTTCCAAGGAAAGAAAAATCAATAAATAATTAGTAGTCTAGATAGTGAATATAGATGGGGATCCATAGCCCACAATTGTCCGTCCGAGAATAGAAGGCTCGCTAGTGTACAGAGGATAGTGTCCTTTACTAGGTATGGATGGAGTAGGGAGGGAAACAAAAAGGATGAAAAACCTTATTATCTCTTCAAAGTTCAAACCCTATGCTTGTGGTTGTGTGTATTATTTACTTACCCGAAGATGAAGGTGACGAAGATGATGATGATGATGAATAGGGTCATTATTATCTCAGCGTGTCTGGTTCTATCTATTAATTAACTCCAAAATAAGTAGGTTAGTACCATACTAATTTATCTGGATTGAAGATTTCTGGTTCCGAGCTGGTCCCAGAAATGTAAATGGTGGTGATGATGGTGATGATGATGATGAGACAAAGTAGGGGGCCAAGTTGCATTGGTGGTGCGCTCCGCTTGCAGGACAGGACAAGGACTTTACCCTTACCCTAGCTACCTGATTGGTACTAGTACGATAGGATAAATTACCTCAGCAAGCTAAGGCACCAAGGCCATAAAATATCAACACCCACCCTAGACATGCTGACTGACCGACCGTCGTTGTCGCCGTCACCGGAAGCCGGGCCATGCCGAAGGTGACATTTTCGGTTGGTCGGCTAGACCCAAAACGTGTGGTCTGTGCCTGAGGGGTACCATCCCCTTAGTAAGTAGATTACTAGTGACTAGTTAGCTAGCAGATTGGAAGGCTACCTTGGCCTTGGCTAGTTACTTACTTTGGGGGCTGAATCAACTTACTAAATATTATCATTGTCATTACTAGAATTGTTGCTGCTCTTATGGTTGGTGGTTGGTTCAGGGAAGGGGGAAAATAAACCCCCAAGGTTTCGCTCAAGTCGTACAGTGATTAGGTTTATCTTCCTGGAAGCATCTCGATGAGATGTGATGTGGATGTGATGACAGATGAATATAGTTGGAGGAATATATTGACCGATGATGATGATGATGATGACCTGTCGATTTTTCCTTTTTTTATTTCATGCGAATTGCTTTTCTTAATGCGGATGTATAGAACGCATGTGGTCTA